CAACGGTTCGTGCACTTGCGAGTATCACAAGTTGAGGATGCAGCTTAATCCATTTTGGTGGAGCTAAATCTACACAACAACTGCTTTGCAGCTCATCTATGGATAAAGTATCCAAATCATTTGATTCCTCGATCGAGCATACAACATAGTCGTACTTTGGAGTCATGGATCTCAAGATCTTCTCGATAATCACCACATCCCCCATCCTTTCACCGTGAATTCTCATCTTATTGGCTGTGATGAGAGTTCTTCCAAAGTAGTCATTCACCGATTCCCCCGCTTTCATGTGCAACACTTCAAACTCCTTGCGAAGAGCTTGAAGTTGAGCACGTTTAACTCGTGATGTCCCTTGGTACTTCTGCTTCAAAGAATCCCATATATCCTTTGCTGTGTTTTTTTTTCAACATCGTCTCCAGAATGGATCGATCAATGGCTTGGAACAGATAGTTCTTAGCCTTCATCTCCTTCAACTTTTGATCCTCAATCACCTTCTTCTGTCCCTCAGTGAGACCCATCCCTTCCGCTACTGCAGAGATCCCAGTTTCCACCAAACTCCAATACTCCTTTGAACGCAAAAAATTCTCCATAAGCATGCTCCAGTGATTGTAGTGTCCATCGAACCGTGGGATAGCAGGCTGCACAAAGTTGTTCTCACTTATCATGTTGTTCCTTCACGCTGATGTTAGTGGTACAAGCTGTTGGCTAGGCCCCGTGATGGTGCTCTGATACCAAATGTTAGAACCAAGTGAAACGACAAAGAACTTTGCAGAAAAAACAGCACGATAACTCCCAGACAGTTGCGAAGCCAGGATTTCATGTGTGTGGGGGCCTCTTACAAATTATAAAGAATCAAAAATTCGAACTCACAATAAATACGAAAAATAGTATATATATCACATATGTAAAGAATTATATTGCTTATTGGTTGCAATCATAATTGTCCTCAACAAAGGGAGAGACAAATACATTCTGAGCAAGAAAAATTGCAAGAGATAGACAAATGGTAGCGATTTAGCAAATATCTTTAAAGCTTCCCCCCCCCCCATTAAACCCAATAGAAAGAAAAAATCAAAATTTCACAAACTAAAAAAAACCTTAGGTCGCTTCATGCATTCATATAATACACGAAAAAATATTTTATGTAAAAATATTAACTAAGTATGAAAAATGGTTTTTCGGAATAATCATTTTCTCAAGATGATTTTTGGCGGCTTTTATTCCTTACACATCAAATAAGAAAACTTGATTTTATGGGATTTTAGTATGAAGTATATATTGACTTAATGAGCCATCATTTTTAGCCTAAATCGTATTTTGCACTAAAACCAATTTTTCATAGTTTGATTTGGTGGGAATTTGATTTTCTAGTATTTTTATTTGAATCCAAATAGGAGGTACTTCCTTATTTACATTGTAAACTTAAGTAAATAGAGTAATATAAAAATAAATGAAAGTAAAAGGACAAAGACATTTACATATCAAAACGTAAAGTATTTGAAATAATATACATATAGAAATACATAACAGTATATTACTTTTAAAATATAAAAATATTGAGTGTGGGCCCGTGACCACATTGGTCCCAATGTGGCTCCGCCCCTGCTCTCAGATGCAGGGAGAACTTTCTTATTAAATTAAAGAACCAACATAGCTATTAAATAGCCTTACATCAAACAGGAAAGGAAATAACAACCCACAACTTTACAGCCCTAGAATCGTGGTGCATGACTATGTCTAAACAGAAAATAACTTGTCCCTTAAGAGTAGGGATTATTATGCATGACTTCAAAACACTACAATCCTAAAAACCAGGAAACCCGAAATCCATCAGCTAGAGAATCCTAACAACTTAACAGCAACGAAATCGAAAGGGAATAAGAATGATAGATGGAGAAGGAGATACAGGAGAGAGAAATGTCAAACGGGGGGAGAAGAAACAAAGTTAGGGGCTACACATGGAGGGATGAGTTGGTGGTTAACTTGGGAAGCCACAAGTGGAAACAATAAGAAAATGAAAGGAATGAAAATAAACTTAGGCATCTTGCCCCATATCTGAGCAAAAAGCTCGAGAAAACACCCACAAGGGCTGGGATGGAGCCACCGACTCTCAAACCCAAGAAGGAAAGAGCTTTGGATCCAGCAAAAAGGTTTTTCCTTTTGATACGAGAGACTCCCTAGACTAAAAAAAATTCGTAATTTATTTTTACGAACATTTTAACCTATAAAACATTTAAATTCTGAAAGAAAAATTTTATTTCATTTAAAACGAGTACAACAACAGTGAAAATAAAAAAGAATATTGTATGAATTCAATTGCAAAAAAAAAAAAAACATTAAGTAAACACCAAACACCAAACACAAACCAGGGCTTAATAGTCTTATGTTGATGGAAATCATGAACATCAGGTGACCCCTAGATGGTCACCAATTGTAACAACGTTTGTTTCTTATACATTATGGGTAGTGTTGAATGGTGATAGGAACTATTTCAATACTTTTGGGGAGAGGAGGATGGGGAGTTGTAGTAGTAGACGTAGTCAGACCTACGTACCGAGTACAAGACCATGCATGCTTTGTTGTGAATTAGAACCAACTCACTCCCCTTTAGACCTTGTTGTTGATGGACTTTGGACAAGACTCAATGAGGGATGAATCTTACACACACACACACTGAAAATAATCAAGCACACAAGACACAAGTGTTTATAGAGGTTCAGCAATATGCCTACATCCTCTTTGGTGATCCCCTTGAGAAATTTCACTAATGAAGATAGGTTACAACTTTGGTTTACACAGAAACCCCCTTAGAACACTACCCTCACAATCTGTTTCTCTCACACCCTTGCTCACACCTTGATACACTTGAGAATTCTCTCTTTTACTTGACTCACTAGTTTCCAGCTACTTGAGCTCTCTCTTTAACTCTGTCTTTGCAGACTCGCTTCCTCTTTCCTTTAATACACAAGCCTCTAGACTTGAGAGAAGACCCTTTCTTTGCCTCCCACGTTCTGCCCTTGAATACCTGACCTGGACCATAGGTTAGGCCAGCCTCAAGCTATGTATTAATGGCAACATGTGTAGCCACCCTATATAGAACCATAGGGTAGCTACACCTTGAAACAAGTCAACCCATGTCCTTCAATGCTCCCTCAAACCTCCCAACTGATTGCCAACGTTCTTCTGACTTAGAAGTGACCCCTAGAGTCCTTGCAAGTAGGTGGGAGGCGATAGCCCTTGAAAATAGAGTTCAAAACTCGAGAAATCCGAAACAGCATGTGCTGGGCGACCGGTCGTACGCACTGAGCGACCGGTCACTTTTGCTCAGAGTCTCAAGACTTCGACTCTGTGCAGAAACGACCGGTCGCAAATGGTTGGCGACCAGTCGCGAGTCGACTTAGCTCCAGACCTCGACTCTGTGCAGAAACGACCTGTCTCGAATCTGCCTGAAAACGACCGGTCGCTTGCTTTGTGCAACCGGTCGCTTTTAGGCAAAGTCTCCTACGACCTTGTATCCTTTATACGAGCCAATTTTCACAACATGCTTCACATGGACACTTCTCAAGCTCTAGGGTAACAGTTGCAGAAGTCTAGCACCCCTATGTAATCTTAGGATCAATTTGGACAACTTTGGGGTTGTTAGAACAGTTCGAATCCAACCTCGAACGAAGCCATTGCCATAACTAGTTTTTATTTGTTCTTTAAACTTCTTGGGCATAAAATGAAGTGTCCTGTTTTCAGGCTTGGCGTCAATCAATTTCCCTATTTTTCTTGATGAGCTATCCTTCCCTGCACCCGTCTCCATTCCCATATTAGCCCTTGAAGTGAAGGGATCGTGGTTGTGATGCTTGTGTCACCATTATTTGGTGGAGTACATAAACGATGCAAGCATGCTTTGGCATATGTATGCTGATTTAAGTATTACATAAAGGGAACAAACATATCAACATTCTTGCTCATTCTTCGTTGATTGATGCAGTTGTCAATGGTCATGCACTCAAGATCTAATATTTTGTCAACAAAATCATTACCAATTAGGTTGTTTATGCCTAAATTTGGTTCAATAACAGGATAACCTCTTCAAGATCGAGGTCGGGCAATTCTTTCAAACTAGGTTAGCGTCACCAACCAAGTCGTCCTCCATAAGACTCTTTTCTCGTACGTGCATTAGAAGTCTTTCGGGTTAACACCACGTACCTTGGAATCTACTCCAAATATACCTCAGCTCCTACAGCTCAGCTCCTACAGCTCAGCTCCTACTTTTTAGGAGTAAGTCTAGGCTGAGGTAGGCAATATTCATGTGGTTCACTTTTCGAGGCTCGAGCCCTTTCAACTTGGATCTTTCGCTTAAATATCGGGCTGACATACATTTAATCCTACGTGGAGATAGGCTTGAATATTTAGTCAACATACATTTAAGCGGATTGGGAGATACCAGTCCAGCCCAAATATTTGGATTTTGCTCAGCTTGGCTATTACTCTTAAGTTTAGAGTAATGCTATTTGGACACACAACATTGACACACTTAGCTGACACCCGCTGATGTGTCAATGTATCATTCGTTGAACAGAAAACGATGAGAAAATAAGAGCAAATGATACATTGACACATCAGCGGGTGTCACTAAGTGTGTCAATATTGTGCGTCCTAGTAAGGATGACAATGGGTTGAATCGGTAGTGAGTATGCAATTTCCATCCCCATCTTCGTTAAGCATTTTTTCCTTATCCCCACCTTCATACCCGCAATCTTCAAATTGGGAATTCTCCATCCCCGTCTTCATTGGGGTACGGATTCCCCGACCCGCCTCATTACCAAAAAAACCAAAAACAAAAAGCTACTTTGTTAAATGATAAAAAAGCATAATGAGCACGAAATATGTATCAATTCCATTTTTATTAACTAAACATTTAAACTAGTTTTAAAAAATTAATACATGTCATAACTACATGTTCAAGACATGATGATCATTACAGAATTTTTCATGGGCTAAATTGTGGCATATATGACATGATTTTATTAACATTTCTGGTGGCTTAAAACAGGCACATGGTCCCGTAGACGATTCTGTTGTAGAAACTTCAACATTGTGCTAGAAATTGAATGGTTAAGATTTTGATCTCCACTAAAAGTAAACTGTTCACCACATAGGTGTTCTTTACACACACACATTTCATTCACAAGCTCTGTGAAAAATATATACCGTGTATTCACAAGCTATCTATCGTGAATTTTCAATTCTATTCATTGAGCTTAGACAATAAAAACAGGCAACCAGAAGAAAGGAGGACAGAGGCAGAAAAGCAGAGCAAATCAAAAGGAGATTGTATAACTGCTTTCTTAGTCTTCTCGAACAACCCAATTAGAAGTAGCATCACTATGACATGGCCAAGCTTCGTTTTCAGCTCGTTCACAGTTGTTATATCTAACCATTTTGGTCGTTCCTGTGAAAAGGAAGGAAATCAAAAGCTCAATACATTTATACAAGTCAACTTAGCCTACAGATGTTGCAAGTTAAACCACAACCGTAATTATAACCTTTTGTTCCAACAAGAAGCATCCATGGTTTCATCCGAATCCCAACGAAGAGGGTAAAAGTTTATAAAATTAACTCTACTCTGTAAAATTCTTATTTTTACATATACTAATACTGAAAACTTTCACCTATTTCCCTTGTACTTTGGCCTGTGTGGCACTTTGCCTCCCAGAAAAATGAAAATTCATTGCTAGTGGTGCCCCCTGAAGCTATAAAAGTTTCAATGTAGGGCTGCCAAACCTGTCCAATTTCCTATGAATTTTGATGTGTGACTCCCATTCGGCCCCCTTTTTAGGGGATTCTCGTCAGTTCCTCTCTCCTCTCTTTTCTTTCTCCTTCCCCTTTCTTCTCTCTTCTGCGAATTCTCAGAACAAGGGTGAAAGACCTGTGTATCTAGAATGACTATGGTGGAGTGGGCATGCCAAGACCCATCTGGTTGATATTACCACTGGCCCGGACAACAGGGCAAATCTGAATGAATAGGAGAAATTATAGTTGTATAGCCACTACAGAAAGGTGCCTAATTTGATAAGGCAATTACCAAAATAACCACCACCCTCCCCAATGGACGTCATAGGGAAGCTGGAGGGGTTGAGAAGCCACCAACGTTTGCTTCTTGTCTGAAACCACAGTTCCAAAAATTCAGGACCTTGAAACAGATCTTCAGGAGGAAGACAGAGAGCACCCTGAAGAAATTGAGAAGCTTGAAAAATCTGGGTCGGAGGGGCTGTTTCTTTAGATTTTGCACTTATCCTTTCCATTCTCTTCTACTTTGTTTTGAAACATTAGTTAGAGGAGTTTGTAAATAATGTCCAAGTCTTTGAGCATAGTTCCAGATTATTGGCATAGATTACCTTACATTGTTCTTATTATTCCTTTTAAGTGTTATTACTGTTCTTCTCCTCTGGGACATAAAGTTGTTATTATTGTTGGCGCCAGCAATTTTTGAGGTTTGCATTCATTACACTTCAAGCATATCGAGGCAACTTCTGGGTATAGCAACTGTGTCTGTGAAGTGTTTCAATGACTGTTTTTAGTTGTGTTTAAAGGGTAAAACTTGTGTAACTCCCCATTCAATTCTTGTTCGAGCATCATATAGATTCTTCCCTTTAAGTTATGTATCTCGTGTTGAGTAGCCATATGACTCCTCCATACATTCATAGACTGGTGAGAAACAGAAATGGAATTCACCTAAAAAAATATGGGTTTCCCTGATTGGTCAAAGCCAGCGATATCATCATACGATGGTCTTAGAGGCATGGCCATTCCATAGATAGCCATTGCAAATGTACAAGTCACCATACCAATTCCAGATGCAACACCCCTTTACCTCTGTTTTGAGAATTCGCAGAAGAGAGAAGGAAATGGATATGGGAAGACAAAGAGAGACAGAAGAAAGGAGAGGGGAGAAAGAAGAAGGAAGTGATGAAAATATCCTCACATATAAAAAATTCAACAGAATGGGACGCATTTGACAGTAGGCTCTACATTGCAACATTTTCAAAGTTCCAAGGGGACACAAGACTTATTTTGACCACTTCTTTTTCGAAGTAGGATCATACATATGAATGCATTGAACAGTAAAATGATAATGCACTGCTGCATAAAATATACAGCCCATAGAAACTGAAATATAGATAATTAATTCAGATAAACTCCATAATTAGCCAAGATACCCAACCTAAAAAACTACTTTTGACTGAAAAAATAAATAAATATAATATAATATAATCAAGGACCTACCCTATGGGCATGTTGCATAAGAATTTTCAACTTTAGTTAGTGTTTGCTAATATAGGCTGTCTGCAGCGTTTTAGATTTCCTTAATTCAAGGCTACTTTCTTTTCTTTTCTTGTCGGCTAACATAATTCAAGGCTGATTTCTAGATCATACTACTAGAAGAATGATGTTAAACACCTATTTCACGGGCAATGAAAGTCCGCCTCTTATTTTCAAAACTTCAGCAATTAGTTGGCCACTTTACAACATTTCATTCATGTATCTTCTAGCATTGCCCATTAATCCTAGAAAGTAAAATAGTATTACTAAAAATATAGCTACGAATATTGCTCAGATATGAGAAAAATCAGTCTGACCTTCAGAATGAACATGCCTAAAAGATTTGATCTGTCAGTAGGTTTATTCTCTTGTGAAGACTTCACAATGTCGAGATTGCTGATAAAGAGCTCATAAAGACCCATTCCAAACACCAACATCACTGTTCCCAAAAGATAGACATCTACAAATTCCATAAAACAATAGTTAGCGAGTCATTTGCTGAATATATGACTGTATAACCAGAAAGCAAATATGTATGAACAATAGAATTCAACAGAGGGACGTACGCCCTCGTTCTTATTTTATTATTCTGCATCACCTACATTCCCAAGTTCATAGAGAAGTTCAATTTCTAATACTGATGGTGTCAAGTCTAACTCTAACTGCAACTCCTTAAGGTGCTTTTAGAAGTAGTGGTTCAATTTATTTTTTTGTTTTGTTTTGGTTCAGGTTCAGGATAATATATGTAGCAGCATTTGCAAATGATATACTTGTTTTGTATAACCAAACACTATCTATGACATCCTTATAGCATTTTTTAATTTTTATGTTGTAATCACAGCGGACATGTTAGTCATACTTGTTAAGTATGAACGAATTATTTGATAACAAGTTTTGCATGCAAAAAGTTCAAAGACAAGCGATTCCTGAAACACAAACGACCACTCTCTGTATGTAGGGAAATCATTACGGCAAAAGTTTACAATCCAAACAGACTAAATGGATCATATATCCCAGAGAAAATGAAAAACAAAAACATGAATTCAAATAGACTGTCATGATTGAATAGCAAACAAGGCAACTGTGCTCCAAATACACCACATAGCACACAAAGGATAGCACACAAAGGAACTATCGTCCAACAAGAGAGCGAATCATCAACTGTCTTAATCATAAGTAACTCAACTAATCTCAGTTAAGCCTAATGACTGCAAATTTTTCTAATTTTAATTGTACCTCTATGTCCTTAACTTCAGAATTTCAACACTGGATGAGTGAAAATGCATAAACTTTAGGGGCTAGTATAAAGTTTTATAATTGGAAAGCTCAACTTTAGGGGCTAGTATAAAGTTTTATAAAGTTTCATTACCCCAGAAGTTAAAAGCTCTGTTCTTTTCTTGTCTGTCAAATCAAAGATAAACCATTTCTTTGCATGCTTCCTCTTGCTTGCTCTTTCTATAGATTGAAAAATATCTTCAGTAAAACCAATATTTGTTTCATGGTTCTTAAAGCACGGACAACAAAACTTGAAAACGCAAATCGTGACAAAAATAATATTTATACACTCACCAATGGCCTCAACCAGCGACCAGATCACTTTACTGCGATTTACAGAGTATTCCATGAAAGACTGTACAACATAAGTGCAGCCCTGCATATCAGGGTAAACATTGTAAATCAATGCTACGAGGAAGCTTACATGTGTAACAAGATCAATGTAAAAGCAAGATTCTATCGGATATCATGTTACTCTTAATTTCTAATCCCTACTACTAAAATTTCACTTCCTAATTAAAAAAAAAAGGAGGGGGATACAGTGACAGCCACATCAACCACCATGCATAACCATGCCAATGGGAATGCCACTTCAGAAAGAAGAAAAAAAATTATTAGAATAACCGAAGTTGGGAAACAATCTGATTGAACAACCAAATTATATCACACCGGGAATACCAGCAAATGAATGCAGTCAATCAAATTTTCTGGTATCCAAAGTGGTTCCACAATGGGTATTATTGGTTAATAGAAACCTCATACCCAAATTGTTGGGTATAGCAATCGATATTGGGCAGGATGCTAGATACATAACAAATCCACAACTGGTTATTGCACATTTGTTGGAGGAAACTTGGTTACTTGAAGAGCAAAAAATAGAATGCTGTTGAAACAGAATATATGAATGGCATCTAAAACAAAGTGAGGTAATTTAGCAGTACGTCTTTGATAGCCTACAGAAATGCATGATCAAGCTACCATGCATATAGCTTCATATCCAGTTTTTCTTTAAAGAACAGAACATGTGGTAGATTGTCATTTGTACTGGAAAAGGTTCAACGTGGTGATGAACAACTAGCTAGGTTATGACCAAAGGCATAACCAACAGCTCAAATTCAAGAAATACTATCCCAGCTTGGCTAAACTGAAATTTTCGCTACCAGAACCTTCTTTACATTTAGCACTGTTGGTAGTTAAGTATTGCTGGCAGCTTTGGAAGTTGTGGGACATATTTTTTCAATAAAATTGGTTGGCATTTGGGTTTATATAAATTTCTATTGGAATTGGTGGTTGCATCACTTTGAGGAGCTCTCTTCTGAAATCTTCGATTTCCTATGAATAAAAAGTACAATACCCTCTGTTGTAGTACACCCCGTAGGTGTTAGATTAAGCACTTAAGAAATAGAGCAGAGAAGAATATAAGAGACCGAGGAGAAGAAATATAGATCGAAAAGACAAGATAAAGGGCAGAAACAGTATAACAAAGAAGAATATCGAAGATCAAGGATAAGAAAAGATTGAAGGGACGAAATCAGAGAGTTCTAGAAAAAGGTTTACTCAACATTCAAATCTGCATTTTAAAGAACTACATGGGGGTATTTATAGCAAACTAAAACCTAGATGTAATAGGATAAAAATCCCTTGCTTAAACAGAAATCCTAACCCAAATAAAAAAGGAAACATAAAACTAGAAATCTGGAAAAGTTGAAATCCTACTAGAATTTAGAAACTAAGTAATCTAGGAAACAACTAGAGAATCTAGGAAACTAACAAATACATTAGGAAACTAATAGATTCACACTTTTGTTATACTATATTTTCTACCATTAGCAAAATCTTCTTTTTCTTGCATTCTATAAATATCATCCATGCCAAACTGGAAAACCATCCCACTGTGAGACATCTCTCATCAACAAAAGAAAAGTGTTGCCTTATACGTTGATAACAAGAGGAAGGAATTTGGAGATGGCAATTGAAAAATAACAATCATTCTTAACAACTAAAAGAACAAACAAAAGCAGAATCAAAAAAATTAGTACCAAAAAGAGAAGAAAAAAAAAGCAGAATCAAAACATGGTTCGGCTACAAGTAGAATAAAAGCTGCCTCAGGGATTTGATAATCATACCTTGATGAAACAAAGAACTGACCCAATCAAAGACCCCAAAACTCCCAAAAACGCCATGAACCGAAATCTGTATATTACCTACATATCCAGCATAACACCCAAAAAAAAACGCTAAGAAGAAATAAAATCAAAACTATGCCAAACCGAATAGAGGCTACTTGATTAAAAACTTAAAATTGTGAAATTAAAATAGAACTTGCGGCACCTTGTCTAAGTATTCCTCAATGGCTTCTACTTCACTTGGTGAATTCTGAAAGGAACTGGAGTCGGAGGCGACATTGGAAGGGATCAGCTGGGACGATGAATGTTGAGGGTCAGAAGAAATGCCATGTCTAGAGCTGGCAGCCATGGAGACGATGAATTTGAAAGCATGGGGACTAAACCCAGAGACCCTATTCAAATTTGGACTCAGTTTTGCAGTTTTGTTGAAGGATGATGGTAAAGGTGGAGGTGGTACTGTTCTAATGGGTTTTGAGAGCAAAGGCCGAGGCAGTGTCATGAAAGCTATTTCGTTGGTTTACTGAGTTCGACTTTGTCACTCGGTGAGTCAGTTTCAGTTGGGAACTCGGGAGTTTTGTGAAGACGAAGCTGTTGCCAAATTGGAAAGAATAAGCCTGATTGGGAAGGTAAAGTTGTGTAATAATATGTCTGGGAAAATTACAAAATTTATCATCCTTGTTTGGCTTGTTCTTTCTTTGTCTTTTTAATGACTCGATCCTATTGTTTGGCTTGTAGTTTTTGTAGTTTTTGCCAATTTCTTAGAGTTAAATGTCGATTTACCCCTTGAATTTGTACACTATTTTTAATTTGTAACCTCAACTTTTTTTTTGAAAAATTAAGTACACAAACTAATTTTTATTGTTAATTTCCCCCTACCATCTAAATCAACAACATATCATCCAATAATCCATCAAATCATTACCCAAAAAAAAAATTTGAAAAAATTCAAGAAAAAGAAACAAAAACAAAAAAGAAAAAGAAAAAAGAGAAAAAAAAATATTCCTGGGGACCACCCCAACCCCACCCCCCCTTGTGGTTTTCTTCTCCTCCCATTCCCCACGACCACCACCCTTCACTCCAGACCAATCCCCCCATCCAACAAACCNNCCCCCCCATTTTGGTTTTTTCATCCCCGGACCGTTCACACCCCTCCTCATCCTCCTCTTGATTTCCCCATGACTACCACCCTCAAGCTCCTACCCCCAAACGAACCCAAAACCCATCCATCTCCCCTTCCTTCCCTAGATTTCTTCTCCCCTCCCCCCTTAACACCGAACTTTTGATTTGCCCCTATCCTTTTTTTTTTTAGAAAATTAAGGATATGAAGTCTCTTTTTTTGCTAATTTCCCCCCTACCGTCAAAATCCTCAACATTTCATCCAATTTTTGGTTAAATTATTTTTAAAAATTATTTTTTTTGGAACAAATTGAAGAAAAAGAGTAAACCTAGAGCCAAACCCCCCTCCCCCAACCTTAGTATCCTAAAATGTTCCTAATCATAGGGTTATCAAATGGGCATTGATAAACCATTAAGATTAGCACATATTGTGTATGCTCAATTAGAAGGATGATTAGTCTCAAACCATTTGTGTAGATTGTGCTCAATAGTGATTGAGTACATTGAACGTGATCAACCGTAGTTCTAGTACGAAGCTTTATCTATGTGTCAAAGGAGAACTCATAGTTGCAATAATGCAAATTAGTCCTTAAACCTGAGGCATCATAGTTTCATTGTGATGCGTTATTGATCTCTGATAGCTCACAAAGGTAAGTCGTAAAAGATTTACCTTATGTATTATTAGGATCTCTTAATTCATCACAGAGGCATATGAATGTACAATAAGGAATCTCTACCTTTAATTAAGAAGGAGAATGTTTCGAGATGTGATTTAGTAAATCTTCGCCCGAAGTATTTGAGCATGATTTAGAAAGTAGTTCTCAATCATGTTATATTAAATCACATGAGGTTAATCATATTAGGGGTTTGACATAATCAATTTGTACTCTAATAATATGATTCGAAACATTGTATTAGAGAAGGACCGTATTGCATTGCAATTCCAACTAAATAGGTTCTTCAACTATTCTAGTTAGCTTGGGTAGCTTTGATATATTGCTAGATGTCAATCTAGGCTCGTGAAAGTCGTAGGATTGATTGTGATCAATACATATAAAAGAAGAATTAAAAAGGGGTTTTAATTCCAGTTGATTAGAAAGAGTTCTAATATTTTCTCATTGTCTTGTTAATTAGAACCTAATGGATCATACACCTTATATGGTTAACTTTGACTAATACATATGAGAATGTGGAAATAAATTCATCAATTTGTTGTTGATGATTTACTGCGTGAAAAGTGTATTTGGGCCTCAATAACAATTAATGGGAAACCCAGATGGTTGGTTATCAAGCCCAAGGGGTTAAGACACCTAAATATTATGATTTAAGTGTCACAATGCCCAAAATTGGAAGCCCAATAAGGTTTGGCCGAAAATGCATAAGTAAGTGTGTATGGAAATTGTTTCAATAAGCTAAAAACATACAAACACAATCCAACATCAACCAAATAGGTTTGGGAGATCAAAGAGAGATAAAAGAGAGTTTTCAAGAGTGAAATACTTTCATCTTTCATGGGTTTAGATTGAAACCAAGTCTTGGGGATCTTGCACTGGCATCCTTGAATTCCCAAGATTCTTCCCTCTCATCTCAAGGTTCCATTGGTTTGGAGACTTAGAGGCCATATCCTTTTGTGGCTTACTAGGGGGAGAAAGATCTAAGAGGAGATCAACAAAGGGAAGTCATCAAGAGAAGACCAAACACAAGGGTAATTAGAACTTATCCTTTTCTCTTGTACTTTCCTTTTATGAAAACATATAATGTTCATTACTTAAGATACTTGGAAGAAGTTTTGTTTTTTTAATTTAAACAACCACCGTATACTTCCGTTGCGATTAATTTGATTAAATGCATGTTTAATATTCAAATGAACTTCTTAAAAATATTTTAAAACGAACAATTGGTAGCCATAAGTCATGACCTTGATATGTTTCTAGGGTTTAGAGATACATATATGGGTTGTAAATTCATTCAAAAGTATAATGGTTATATTTGATTTATTTTGATATGATTGAATGAAAATCATATGGAGTGAAAGGGGTTGTTTGGGATTTTGGATTTCCGGATTTCATGTTTTGATGATTGATGCTCTCTTTGCATGCATGTGTATGTATGAACGTTAGAGCATAGTTGCATTAAAACCCCCATGATTTTAACATCATGAAAATATAATTAATTAAGAGCATGAGATGGTTAAAATAGAATATGGTTTTTCCGGAAATAGCATGAACATTCATTTTAGTTCATATGCATGTTCTTGGTGTTCTTGATGTTCTTGTTATTGGATTTTTTGATTCATAAGTCAAGTGACTATATTTGATGATTGTGTTAGTGGATTTTTCCACCAAGATAGGTCATAAAGATGATGATGATGTTTTATTATAAAATTGAAAGTTTGTCAAAATATTTCCACTTAATAAACATTCACCCACCACACTAAAATTAATAAGATTACTTTGGTGACTGTGTAGGGTCTATCAAGATGTGAATAATGGTGATTTGATATAAAATGCAAAATTTGATCAATATCACTAATTATTTACTCACCACACTAAAATTAATTATGATTACTTTGGTGAATGTAGATGGCCTACCTAGTCACACTCATGATTATTCACCTAGTTGGAATAATCATGATCACCACTTTGTGTAAAACAAATGCATGCTTTAACCCTACACCCTAGTGGATCAACTTTGGATCCATTTTTAATTGTTGAATAGTTTTGGACCTACTTGCAATATATGATAAGTGTAACTATGCCCAAAAGGTTTCTACCATTACATTTACTATTGTAGTAAAACGTTTTCATTCCATGGTAAATTTATTTTATTTGAATATGGTTACCACTTGAATTAAACCCATATATATATATATATATAACCCAAGAGCATATATTTACATTGCTAGATTAATTGTTTAAAGTGTTTGAATAATTAAAGGATGGTTATGGACTTAGACCAAACAATAATTGAGCTATGTGATTTGCCGCCTACTATATTTGATTTTGATTTTGATCGGTTATGTAATAATGAAATGGTTTTCATGCCTAATTTATTTTTATGCAAGCGTAGTTAAAATGAATCACCATCCAAGACCATGATCCAACATGGTAGGCCATCCACACTCACCAAAGTAATCATAATTAATTTTAGTGTGGTGGGTAAATAATTAGTGATAGGAATAATTTGATCAACTTTTGCATTTTATATCTAATCACCATTATTTACATCTAGATAGACCCTACACACTCACCAAAGTAATCTTATTAATTTTAGTGTGGTGGGTGAATGTTTATTAAGTAGAAACATTTTGACAAACTTTCAATTTTATAATAAATCATCATCATCATCTTTATGACCTATCTTGGTGGAAAAATCCACTAACACAATCATCAAATATAGTCACCTAACTTATGGATAAAAAAGATCCCATAACAAGAACATCAAGAACACCAAGAACATGCATATGAACTACAATGAATGTTCATGCTATTTCCGGAAAAACCATATTCTATTTTAACCATCTCATGCTCTTAATTAATCATATTTTCATAATGTTAAAATCATGGGGGTTTTAATGGAACTACACTCTAACGTTCATGCATACACATATGCATACATAGAGAGCATCAATTATCAAAACATAAAACCCGGAAATCCAAAATCTCAAACAACCCTTTTCACTCCATATGATTTTCATTCAATCATATCAAAATAAATCAAGTATAACCGTTATACTTTTAAATGAATTTACAACTCATATAAGTATCTCTAAACCCTAGAAACATATCAAGTTCATGACCTATGGCTCTGATACCAATTGTTGGTTTTAAAACATTTTTAAGAAGTTCATTTGAATATTAAACATGCATTTAATTTAATTAATCGTAGCGGAAGTACACGGTGGTTGTTTAAATTCAAAAACAAAACTTCTTTCAAATATCTTAAGCCATGAACATCGATATATTTGCATGAAAGGAAAGTAGAAGAGAAAAGAATAAGTTCTAATTTGGTCTTCTCTTGATGACTTCCCTTTGTTCATCTCCTTTTTTATCTTTCTCCTCCTTGTGAGCATCAAAAGGATATGACCTCTAAGTCTCCACACCAATGGAACCTTGAGATGGGAGGAAAGAATATTGGGAATTCAAGGATGCTAGTGCAAGATCCCAAGACTTGGTTTCAATCTAAACCCCTTGAAAGATGAAAGTGTTTCACTCTTGAAAAAATCTCTTTAATATCTCTTTGATCTCCTAAACTTATTTGGTTGATGTTGGATTGTGTTTGTGTGTTATTCAGCTTCTTCGAACAATTTCCATACACACTTACTTATGCATTTTCGGCCAAACCCTATTGGGCTTCCAATTTTGGACCTTGTGACACTTAAATCATGATATTTAGGTGCCTTAACCCCTTGGGCTTGATAAACCATTTGGGCTTCCTGTTAATTGTTACCAAGGCCCAAATACACTTTTACACAGAGTAAATCATCAACATCAAATCGATCAAATTTTGTTGTTTAGATCAATTAGTAGGCAAGACAAGGACTAAAT